CCCCACCACCCTTCCCCTTCTCTGCTCAGACTTGAGCAATCTGCTTTCAGGACTTAGAGAAGTGAAAAGCAAAGCTGTCTGGAAGCAAAGACAGTCTGCAGGCACTTCACTATCAAAATCTGATCACCCACTTTTCTCCCGCCACCAACCCCTCACCCTCTCACCTCGCTCTGGATATAGGAAGGCGGCCTCATCATAAACAAGCTGCTTCCTTTTCTCTCTCCTTTCTTCTTCCCTAGTAGACATAAAAGAGGCAGCTCTTAACAGAGTTGATATATTTTTGAATCCAGCTATCTTTTGGCATTCATATTTGTATAGCTCTAAATTCATTTATTTTATGTTTTGATTCCATATTTTCCTTTCCATTAGTCCTAGTCACAATTCTTAAACAACCTGGCCTTGATCTTTTCAGTGGTGATTCACTGGGATTCCTGCATTTTATGAGCTCTAACTCCCTGGGCCTCAAAAATCAGTGGCTTTCAAAAAATACTTGGACTTCAATTTGACAAAGAATTGAGTACCTATTGTGTGTGCAATGTAGAATTGAGCACCCAGAATAGGAGATGCGTGAGTCACCATTCCCCGGGAGTCTCAAAGAATTCCCAGTCTCCAATGTGGTGAGTGCTGTATGGGACTGTGAACAAGCTATGCAATCACCAGGTACCAAGATTGTCCGTGTACAAAACAGAAAGAGATACAAATATAAACTCATAAGTGATAAGTAAAAAAAAAATAAATCTATTGTGTAAGGTAGTAATATCACAATTCATGTTTATTGATAAGTCTGGGGGCAAGAACAACCGTAATAACCAAATAATGATTTTTGAGTAATATTTATCACTTATATGAATTAGAACTCCTTGGAGAATTGGCCAACTTCAGGTTTAGAGCAGGATATGTACAGATGAGTCTGAGACATCTTATTGTGCCAGAAGGCAAAGAAGTTATAGCTAGTTGTGCTAAACACAAAACTAGGATGGACCTAGCTTTGCCATCAACATTTGAACACCAAAAACACTCAGTGTTGTAAACATGTGAAATACGTAAAACCTCTGAGTTCTTAAAATTCCAAAATAATAATATCTCATTGGATGCTGTTGCTAGGGTGCTAATTTATTATTCTGAAAACTGAAAATAAACGTATGTATCTTGCCTTTCTTGTATACATTATATTTTAGAATAGACAAATAGTTGATGAGGAAAAGCTTTTTGTATATGAGTTCAAATTAATAAATGCAGAAAAAAATGACAGAATTGGAAATCACAACTTTACAATCTTTAATGAAATAATTGTTTTGGACAATAGTTGTTAAAACCCTTCAGTGAGAAGCTGATTGGGAATTTTATAATGAATGGGTTAGACTTACTGGTGTTCACCAGTCAATTTGAACATCACAGGAAGAGAAATAACTAGGTGTTAGTGTCACCTGATACAAAGCCTTTTAAAGTATACTACACCATATCTATGACATAGTCTTGTTCAACAAACAAAGTTGCATCAAGTAGAATCTATAGATGCATTGCTAGTTTATAAAAAATATATGGAATAGAGAGAGGTGTTAAACCACACCTCAAGGGTGCAATTGGCTGAGTCTACAATCCAACAAATTTTACAGAAAAATTACTTGATTTTTTTTAAACTTATAAATAGCAGAAAAAAATAATGATGGGGATTGTTAAAGGTCAAAAATAATCTTTATAATGCATTGCCCACAAAATAGAATGTAGTTTCCTTATTTTGATTCTAATTTGAAAAAGAAAAAAAGTGTTAAAAGTAATTTTTGAGAAAATTGGGAAAATTTGAATATAGCTGAGTATTGGTTAATATTGAGAAATTACTAACTTTATTAAGTGTAATAGTGCTATTTCATAACTATTAGAAATACATACAGAGGTATTTGTAGGAGAAATTACATGGTCTGGAATTCATTTTAAAATACTTAGCGATATAAAAAGGAAGATAGATGTAACAAAACAAAACAAAAAAGGCAAAATGTTGGTAATGGTTCAAGCTGATAAGGAAGGCTGTGTCCACAAAGCTCAAGACCAGGACTGGGAGCCTCAGGGAGGTGGGTAGTAAATGGGACTTTTTCCCCTCTCATACTTGCATATAATTTGAAACTTTATGAATAAGAATGTAAAATGTAATTCTTTTGCATTAAAAAAAAATTAAAAAAGGAACAACCCACCAGGCAAACTGTAAGAGTCGAATTTGCAGGAGAATGAGGAAAGTGGAAGAAGGAATTTGGCAACCAGCTCCAGAAGTGGGTGTGTGCCTCCCCTGTGACGAGGACGGAGTTGGGAGGAGGTGTCTTGTGCACAGAGCCAAGTCAGTCCTGGCCAGTGAGACAGGCAGCAATGAAGAGAACAACCTCCAAAAGCTGGTGGCAGATGTGTGGTCCAGACAGGAGAAGTGTGTGGGGAGGGAGATGAGAAAGAACAGCCCAGAGACATGAGTGGAAACGGTAATTTTTTAAAAGGGGTATGTGTGAGCAAGAAGGAAACAGTAAAAGAGAGAGAGGAAAGCTGAGCCCACCTGTGGAAGTTTGCTTAAAGCTGACCGCCCATAAGCAGGAAGGGCCATTAGGTTTGCACATCATTGCTATTTGGCTGCCATAGGTCCCCATGGTTCCCCATGTTTGTGATCAAGATTTCTTCAACGCCCATTCAAAAATACATCCCATCCACTAATTAGGTCTACTTGCAAGCACACAGAAAAAAATAGAGTAGCAGCATCTTGCTGGGTTTTCTTAATTCTGACAGATGGCTTCTTCCTAGATCTCTGAATGTTGGTGATACCAACCTCTGGGATAGCCAAGTGTAGGACACAGTCCAAACAACAGGCTGCTTTTGCTTGGTGTCAGTTCAGCTTCCTACAAACAAAATTAAAGCAGCATCCAGTTAGCAATTGGAAACACATATCAAAGGGAGGGCGCTTAACTCAAAACAGATTTTTCTAACCACCCTCAATATACGTGTTTAGGAAGAATGCATCTTTTAGTTATAGCAATGCAAATGTCAGTGATTATAAACATGTGTATAATATAGCTTGCCAGCAATTTTTGCCCTTGAATGACGAGACCCATACAGAGTCCCAGGAAGAATGTGGAACTCTCGTTGATTTCAGCATGAAATACAGGGATATGAATGGTGGTCACAAGAAGGGACACGAAAATCCTGGGGATAATCCTTTGTGGGGAATGTGTTGCTTTTTTGATCCACATGCCTGAAAACAGTAAATGCATGTCCACAGACCAACACTAAGACTCCTTAAAGAATGCAAATACAACTAAGTCATTTGAAAGGAAGTGAATTTCCAAGGACTGGTAAAAAGGGGATCATTCTTAGAAGAGAAGCTCAGAGGAAGGAAGATGCTAGGAAGCCAGAGAGCTCTGATGAGTACTGACATGACATTCCTTCTTCAATTTTAGCAGCCTGGATGCATTTCGCATTTTGTTTCCCAAACAAGTATTAGATTTTACCCCAGAAGGGAAAAGATTTATTCATGTACATTCTAAAGTCCTTTGTAAGGGAAAAACCCACTTCGCTGTGTCTTAGAATGTGTATAGAAAAATTAAAATGTCATGGTTGGAGTTGCTTCTGAGTTAATATCAGTAAATAAAATGTTTGCCTTTTGGTTTCTCTTTTACCAAACAAAATAGAGCTGCCAATTCATCCATCTGTAAAAGTACTCCTTATGTACTCCTCAAGAGAATTACTGAATTATTTTGTGTGCAAAAGTAGTTTTCTTGCATATTGTTCACTTCCTATGGCCAAAGGGGGAACATTTCAGTCCCTTTGCTGAGCCCTTGTATTTCATGTACATGCCTTATTTTGCTGGGGCTGTTTCCTTGTTAGAACACCTGCTCCCTTTTTTGTCAATCCAAATCCTTCAGTGTCCTCAGGGTCTAACCCAGGCTTCTGAAGAGCCTCCCCCAACCTCTTATCCTCACAGGGTTGTCCCCTTTGCCTGTGTACTTACTATCCAAAGGGGTAGCACTTGGTTACATTTTTTCTCACATTATTATAAAATTCTTTCTTTTAAAAAATTCTACCTTCTTCAACCAGGTGGTAAGATTCTTGTGGGATAAAGCATGTTACATACTTCCCACATTTCACTTTAGACCTAAAATGGAACAGATATACCTTCTTGTGCTCAACTAAAAAAGTTTTGTTCTTCACTAATCTCCAAATGCATAATGGGACAAATATATGGATTATTGCAGTATTTTTACACTATTTGATGAGGGAGGAAAAGAAAAGACAGTAAGGGAAAACCTGCATAAATATATATGCCATCATAATGGGTATGAATTATTGGAAAGATTTCTAAAGACACACACAAAAACATCCATAAGGGAAGGATTAATAAATTTGATGCTCTCATAATTTGAAAATTAATTTAATAAAAGTCTTCCTACACAAACTGAGGAAGATATTTGCCACATATTTGACCAATAAAGAATTAAGATCTACAATGGGTACGTAATTCCTACAAATGAAAAGCAAAAGTTAAACCACTCAGTAGAAAATGGCCAGAGGATATGAATAGGTAGTTGAGAGAAATGGAAGCCCAAATGATCAATAAATACAAGAAAAAATGTCCACCTCCCCTGGTATCATGTTAGTGTAAGGTAAAACAACAGTGAGGTACTATCTCCCACCCATCATATGGATAAAAAATTAATATCTAACAAGTTTGGGAGAAAATGTGGAGAAAAAGGAATTTGTAATATTGCCACTAAAAGAGTAAATTAGCACAACTGTTTCACAGAGCAATTAGCCAATAATATAGTTAAAGGGGCACATGCTCTAAAACCTTGGTAACCCAATTCAGGTGTATTTCTTGAGAGGCTCAGGAACATGTGAGCCACAAGATACATTCAGAGGCATTTACTGCAGCATCGTTTGTAATGAAATAAATTAATGCCCATAATAAGGTAACAAATCATAAATTGTGGCTTAATCATCCCATAAAACAAGTAAGATGATTAAACTAGAAATACATATATTGACATGGATAAATCTCAAAAGCATAATCATTAACGTCAGAAGTATACATGAAGAATGATACTCTTAAATATGATTTTGAAAACACACAACACAATTCTGCCTATTTTAGGAACCCAAAAGGTGAAATAAAAGCATAAAAATATGAATGAGAATCCTACACGCTTCAAAAGATGCTGGAGATGCAGAGGTGAGAAACAATATGGAACACAAGTAGAAAAGAGGAGATTTACCTCAACAATGTTTACCTTAAAAATAGAAAATATGGAAATCAAGGTAGTGGGTATACATGTCTTTATATTTTATTCTCTGTTGCATGAGGCACTGAATATGAGTGGATGAAAGGGGCATTAAAATCCACCACTATTCCACAAGCCATCTGGGATCAGGTTTCTATCTCATTTCCATGCCTTTTGAATCACCTATTCATTCCAGAGGGACAAGCTATTAAATTTAAAATTCAAATCACTTCCCTACCATAGCTGTCTTTGCATTGTCGCTTACATGTTTTAAATTTTTAATTTGCACCAAACACAAACTACTAAAACAGAGTTTACTCCAAGCATCATTAAGAGAGAGAACCCCGGTGGTAAACTACAATTTCTCACTTATTTTGGCAATTCAGTGTAATGGGAAGCGATCTCATCTGGGCTTGTTCATTACACTTCCTTAAGTATTTGGCATAAGCTTATTGGGGTTGTTTTTTAGTGTGGGGAAGAAAATCTAATCCTTTAGACTGCAGCTTCTGGCTCCCTGAAATGCCCCAGCAAGTGGAATGCCAAGCTTGCTACCAATTCGTCTACTTACTCAACAAATGCTTACTCTCTCCCGCTCTCTCCCAGATGCAAAAAATGGAATTCAGTACCAAATACTACAACCCAAATACAATGAAGTACAATTGAAGTGGAGGCTACAGCTGGGATTCAACTAAGGGCTTCTCAAAAGCTTGCTGGCTCTGAATTGCTGGGGGATGAGCAATGTCAAAGATAAAGCCAGACACTAGTTAAAGTGGTAAGGACAGATATTAATCAGCAATACACTATTACAATGGGGGGGAGGGAAACCCAGCATGAACTGGCCTCAGCCTCGATTTGTAGAGGCCACAGGGCCTTTGAAGACAGAATGAGGAAGCTGGGAAGGGTGAGCAGGAGCTCTGCAGAATCAGAGAAGCGAAAAATTACAAAAAGTGGCATTTATCAAATTTCAGCTCCTCCCCTCCCACAGAGACTGGGATGCGGGGGCACTATCTTCAGGTGTCAGCTGCAACAAACAGTAAATTCTTTGGGCAGCCTTATTTTCTCAGGCAGACAATTAAAGAGGGGCTACGGTCATCCTGGAGGTGCAGCCTTGGGCTGTTGGAAATGATGTTAGTGTTTGTTCAACCAAGCTTGAGGCCTAGTGGAGAAGCCAGCTCAGCGGAGCTGGTTAGGGTTTGGTGGGGGTGGCACTCTGTCAGGCACTCTGTCGCCTGACAGATGAGGCAGGGAAGGGGAAAGAAAGCGAGAACTTACAAATGAAGCATGACTTCGACATCTCTGCCCCTGTCAAGTGCAGTGTTCATAGCTAGATCGATGATTTTTAGAACTGGGACTATCCTAGCTCGTTTTATAAATGAGTAAACTGAGGCCAAAGAGATTAGGTCCTTTCTAGACTCTCAGATCAGGCTCTAATGAAGCTTGTCGAGCCAGTAGCAGAATTCAAAACTCTAGGAAGATTAGAATGTGTACATCTAGCCCGGCAGGGTCCCAAAACCTACATGACCTCTGTCCCTCCCAGGACAGCCACACCCAGGCCTGACCAGCAAGTCCTAACGTAAGCGGGAGCCTGGACGCGGACCAGGCCTGACTTCCAAAATAGGCTGGAAATTCGTCCTTTTATGTAATTCGTCCTTTTATTCATCCTTTCTTATTCTGAAGTGCTGGACACCGATTCCAAATTTTAAAACATACCATATGAGCCAAACAAAACACATCTGCGGGCCAAGTTCCAAGTGCTGGTCACTATTTCACAACATCTGCTGTAAAGAACTAGGTCTGAGGGCCTCCTCCTGGCCAGTTTTTATGGCTCCTGAATTCAGGAAAAGAAAAGAAGTTATGCTCAAAGACTCTCCTAATATGTGAGCCACCTGAAATTAAATGTTCACTGCCGAGGTCGATTTGGATGAAAAGCAGAAATTATAAATCTGATCAGTTGGTGCCTTTGGAGATTACAGAGAATAAAACTGACTGCCCAGCCCATCCATGATTTCTGAGCTCTATTAGTAGGTGATATGGTGGGAAGGGGGGAGGACCAGCCACACCAAGTGATCCCAATGCACCCTCCCCGTGATCTTGTTCCTTCCTCCCCCCGTTCTCTCCTAAAGCCTATTCTATCAGCTCTCCTCTCTTCTTCTGGTAGGTAGAGCAGAAGACCAACAGGGGCAGGGAGTGCAGAGAAAGTCATGCGCCATTCTGCTTATCCCTAAAAACTAACATTTGGCTACTTTGAAATGTATTTCGTACCTGACTGTAAGCATTTTCCATTATAATCCTTACGATCATCCTATAATGAGGTACTACAGTTACGGCCCTGAATAGATAGGGCGTGAAGAGGTTATGAGCTTGGTCAAGGCCACAAGTAGCAGAGCCTGGACTAACTAGAATCCAGTTAACTAGAATTAGACTAGAATCCAGAATTAACGAGAATCCACATGATTCCAGCCCAAAGCTCCCAAGCTGTGCTCTCAACCGCTGTCCCCCACCTCCGGTTTCATGATTTCAGCCTGTTCCCTATTACTCACCTACAACATGGCATCATTCCGTTTCCTCAACCCAGAACACAGTCAAGGTGAGATAAGATTGTGCATTTGTTGCAGATATTTTTACAAGAAACATTTTAAAGAGAGATTTGGAGTCTGCCTTCTCCTCTCATCATCATAGAGTCCGTGCTGCCGCAGGGAGTAGGTTCTGGGACAGGTACAGAGACGAACTCATTTCTGTGACTTGGGCTTTCTTTTTAAGGACTTCAAGAAACGTGGGGAAAAGACCTTTGTTCTCTAACATACTGCTGCTTCACGGCGAGTAGTGCCGTCCTTGTATTTTAAATAAAAAAGCAAAATACACACACATAAGTGCTCGTGTGTTTGTGGTGTGTGTATACGTGTGTGGTGCATGGAGTGAGTGTGTGTATGTGTTAGATATATATGTATGTGGTGGGTGTATATGTGTGCTGTGGTGTATGTGGGGTATCTATATGTATGCGTATCTGGTGTGTGGGTGGTGTGTGGGTGTGTGTATGTGCTGTGTGTGTATATGTGTGTGGTGCGGTGTGTGTGGGAGGGGGATGTGTATTTGACTTTTAAGATGTCTTTCAGGACAATCAGTGCAGCCACATGATCTAAGGGCCAGAGGTTAGGCCATTAACCCAGGCCACATCCATTTGTGGTTTTCTTGTAGACGCTGTTTCTCTAAGTACATATGATCTGATTGCCCAGCTGCAGGTGGACCTGCCGGGGGCATTGTTACAGTGCACGTGCCAGGGTCCCTGCAGACCTGGGGCATCAGACTATCTAGCCCTGGGCCTAGGAATCTGCACTTTTATTTAATAGGTGTCCTACTTAAGGTTAATGCATTCCTGCTATAAGCTATGGTTATACGTATACATGTTCAGGTTTCCCAATGATCTATACTCAAGATGTAAGTGGCCAAAGAATTCAGGCATAGCCGAAACCCCTCTTACCTTTCTGTACTAACTAAATAAGCAGGAAAGAGTCTTACCCTGCACGCCCACCATACACACACAGGCATGGCACCTTTATGTTTTCAGTTTTCAAATTTGTTTCCTATTTGACAACACATAAATACCTACCTGAAGGAGGCTTTGCTTCTTTAGTTGA